GTAAGGTTTTTATATAGTAAAAATTTGGTTTCTGATTTACAGTGCGTTATAGAATGGAGGCCGTTATAGAGGGGGCCATTATAGAGAGAGTGAACTGTATTATTTTATTATCATTAATTTCAAAAAGAATATATACAGTTTTACATTCAAAATTCTCTACGAGCGCCTATTCTTTCTGAAATCCAACTTTTTAACAAATAGTTGCACGAACAATTAGAATTTCTATTCGTAATACAAATTCTTATTCGTTTTATTCGAATTACTTAATACTCGTCTTATTCGTATTCAAATTACTCGTTTTATTCGAATAAATTTTCAATGTACAGTGATTCGAATATACTCAAATTCATTCGAACAAAAACCCTATCTACAGTCTGGGCCACGCCCCGGTCCGGTTCTTTGATTAGACTGGCGGTTGTCTTTGGACCAAACTTATTTTTATTTTATTTATATACAAATTTTTTTTTGTTACATCAAATTTTTCCATGTGCAAATAACTACGTGCGCATAATGCGCATTGGAATACCCCTAAACTCTAAAAATTTAATGCTATAGCACAATTAGTACAAAAAACCCCTTAGTACATTGGTACACACACATTCTTTGGAAAAAAAATAAAAAAAAGGAGGTAGAATTTACTTTTTTTACAAGATCTATTTATGAAATTGAAGAAGGGCAATAGGAGTAAAATAAAGAAATTATAACAAACTTTTTGGTGCTTTATAATTAACGAATTTCAGCGCATATATTTGCATACAATATATGTATGAATAAATAATGGCATTATCTTCAAAAAAGAAACTTTTTTCATTATTCACCCCGCCACCAATGTCGCCAATTTTATCACCTATAGGCATTAACAGTAACGGAACAATGATATCTAACTATTTTCCTACAATAGAAACCTTGGAAGATAGACAGCTTCAACAACCTACTCTTGAAGATATTCGTAAAGCCGGAGAAAACTTTGAGCGACTTGTTGCAGCTGCTGAAGCTTATCGTGATCTAACAATAAAGATTGGCAAAGCATCTAAAACTCTCAGTAAAGCGTTAAAAGATTATGGGAATAGTAAAGGAATGGATAATATTCATGTTATGTGTCTTCAAACTTCTTCACAATTTTATGAACAAAATTCAGAAGTTCAAAATAAATTGGTAGATTTATTTTTTTTATTGTATTATTTATAATTAGAAATTTTATTTATATTTGATTAATATTTTTCTAATCCTTATTCTTTAGAACAAAGTTTTGCAAAAAGATTTTGATAGCCTTCAGAAAGTTTCGGAAAAATATTTCAAAAAAACAACTGTGAGATTTTCCCTTATTGCATAGGATTTTTTTTATAAATATAAATATATATATTATAACATTATATTATATTAATATTATTTAGAAAGAAGAAAAGTTACACAATGAGCATCTTAATGAGTTGGATAAGCAAGTAAAAAAGATTGGAAAAGATTACGAGAAAAAATCTAAAAAAGATAGTAAATCTTCGTTGGAGTCTCATGATGTAAGAAAATAAGTAAAAAATAATATTTTTTTTTTTTCAAAACAAATCCAAGCTAACTTTATCAATATATTTCGTAGAAATATATATCATCATTAACAACTGTCGGATCTGATATTGCAAGAGCTAGAGCTGAATACATGAATCAAGCAATTAGGCGTGAAAGAAGCACGCATTGTGTCATTTCTCAAATAATTTGTAAAATAGCAGAAGGAAATTTTGCATATTTTAATGATTCATTGAAGAAGTGTGGTCCATTTATTTCAAAGATGAAAGAATGGGTTCCATTTGCTGGCGAGGATATGCCACAACCTCTTGATTTGGATAGCTTTTTGGAGGATCAAGCACTCAGATCAGATGATAATTCCATAAATTCCGATAAAACATTACCAGAACCATATCCCAACATTTCAGAGAAAAAGTCATCATCAACGCCAAATTTACTAAATTACATTAATAATAATTCACAATTGTCATTTTATTCATCACCTAATTCGCTACCGCCACTACCACAATTTACAGTAGAACCTAATGATATAGAAGTTCCAAAATACACACAAACTCCCGAGGAAATTCAGAAACCTCTTCTTCCAATTGAGTCAACGACAAAAAAAGATTCAACATCCACAAAACAGTCAAAAACAACATACCACTCTATAAAAAAATCACTATCTCTCAATTTAGATGATTTGATTAATAATAACAATGATGATAACAGTGATAGTAATGGTAACGATAATAATAATAAAGAAAAAATTGGAAAAATTGATGAAAATGATGAAAATATAATAGATGCAACACCTGTTACACCAAATGATAATGATAATGATAATAATAGTGACAGATCACAAAAAAATAATTTAAAGCCTATTAAAAAAGAGAAATCATCATCTGGTTTATTATCAAATTTCTCAATCGGCGTTCATTTAAATGATAGTCCTTTTTTACGTAATGAGAAAGTTATTGAAGTTAAACCTGCTGAAGTTTTCAGCGAAAAAGTTTTTACAAAACCTATTTTTGAAAATATTGAGGATCTAAAGAATAATGCTGATGATGACGACAACAATGGTGATGGCGACGACAATAATGTTGATAATATTGATAATATTGATAATATTGGTGATCATAAGAATAATAAGAATCATGATAAGAATGATAACGATAACAATAAAAGTAACAATGATTCATCACCATTGTCTTCTTCAAAACATATAAATAATAATAAACCAGATGACGATAAAAGTCAAAAAAATGAATCAGTAAAGCTAAATAATTTTAATTCTACTGTTACCGCTGATGTTGGTGTTGGTGTGAAGAGTACTTTTGAAAAAGATTCTCCAAAGTTGAATAGTGAAAATAAAACCTCTATTATAGATAATAGTAATAAAAGTAAAACACCAATTATCTCAAAAAAAATTTCAGATGATGAATATTTAATTGTATCTAAAAAAACACTTGGGTATAACCAAGCAATTATTTCACATGAAAATATTCAGACTTCACAACCACCACAAAAAATGCCAACAAAAGATGAATATCAAATAATTGATGCAGATAAACATCTTATTATGCAACAGAAATTAAGAAATTCTCCACCATCGAATAATTTATTGGAAAAATATGAAGGTTGTAATGATGAAGCTATCCAAGAAATTTACCATTCAAAGAGTTTACATTATACAAATCATAAAATCAATAATGCTAACAATAATATTGATGATCCGGATGTAATTTATTCAGATTATCAACAACAACAAAAAAATTACAATTTCACGTCTAACGAAATTTTTAATAATGATAACGATTATGAATCAAATCACCATGATAATTATAATAATATGTTATCATATATGCCAAAATCATTTACAAGTCGTGAAAGATCAACACCTCGTGATGATTATGAAGTGTATACAGCAAGAAAATCTTATTCTACCACTCCATTACCAATTAATAAACGTGGTAATTCAGTTGCTGATATCAAAGAACGGTTCATGACGAAACATAATAGTATTGATAGCAATAGATCTGTAAGCAATTTAATTAATAATTTTTTTTATAAAGTTAGTAATATATGAAATATATGAATATATTTTGATCGAAATGACTTCTTTTTTTTTTTTTTTTTTGATAAATAGTCTTCACCGCCAATTCGTGATTTACCAAGATCTATATCAGGCAGAGTTAATGATATAAAATCAAAACTTGGGGATGAGAGAAATCGATCAATGAATCCTTCTTATCTCCAATTACCAAAATCAAATCGTGGTGGAGATTACCATCGTAATAACATGAGTTATAATGATATTAATAACAACAATTTTTACAGTGATGATTTGGTATGTATTTTAAAATTAAGTTTGTTTACAATAAAAAGATATATATATATATATATATATATATTAATATTAATATATTTTATAAATAGCAAGATGTTGATGAACATTTTATTAATAATTCAGAAGAAATTTTGACATCTGGAGGGAATCATCATTGTAATTGTTATGAATGCCAACAAAAACTTGTTTCTATGAATTCAAAAATTATTACTTCCTCACCACCATCAATCATCAATAATAATAATACGAGAACAAATCATCATAATCAACAACATCATAATTCAAATCAACATCAACGTCATATTAATCATCAAACTCACAATCAGAATCTTTATCATAATCATCATAATCAACATCATAATTCATTTAACAATTATGGAAGAAGTGTTGGATCTAGATGAGAAAATTAATGTATTATTGATTTATTTATCTTTAAACAATTGTATTATAGTGTAATAGTGTATTATTTTATTATTTAATTTATTATTTATATTATATATTATTTATTTTTATAATTCATTAATTTATAATTTATTATGTATATATATTTTATTTATTTATTATAATTATTATAATTAAATGATTATTTTTATAAAATACATATATATATATTTTTATAATAACAAATAATTTCCAGGAACTAACTGACTTTTATCTATTTTTTTTTTAATAAATAAATACAAAATAAAAATGTGATGTAAAAGTTTTTTTTTTACTTTATTATTATTACATATATGTGATTAAATATTTAAAAATAAAATTTTAACTCATCCCATCTACAATTACAAACTCCTTGTGTCATTATTAGTATTTCTAAGAATATTATTTATTTAAAAAATTTCATTTTCGATACAGGATTTTTAACTTGATTTAAAATACCGCCAACAGAACTAGATTCATTGTTATTTGTATTTGGGAAGAATCCAGAAACAGGATTGTCTTTTAGATCTGGGAAAAATCCTGACTGATCAGGATTCTCTTGCTGATTATATTCAAAAGGCTGTTCTTGATATGAATTATCCTCTGGTTGATACATATCCTGCGACCCGTAAATATCTTGTGATTGTTGATACGAGTCATCTTGTGGTTGGTATGACGAATCATCTTGATTATACATATCCTGCGAACCGTAAATATCTTGTGGTTGTTGATACGAATCATCTTGTGGTTGTTGATACGAATCATCTTGTGGTTGATATGATGAATCATCTTGATTATACATATCCTGCGATCCGTAAATATCTTGTGATTGCTGATACGAGTTATCTTGTGGCTGTTGATATGAGTTATCTTGTGGCTGATATGGGTCTTGTGGTTGATTATAATCATCCTGTGTTTGCTGTTGATAATAATAATCATTTTGTGGTTGTTGATAATAATCATTATTATCTTGTTGTGCGAATTGATCTTCTTGTTGATATTGTGAAGAATCATCATAATACTGTTGTGATACATCATCTCCACCACTATAATCAGTTTGTCCATAATGATCACCACCTTGATTGGGATCATAATATGAATCTTGTATATCTTGAGCAGCTTGATCTTCTGTTTGATCTTCCACTTCCTGGTCACCTTCTTGTTGCTGTTGGTCATCACCTTCTTGCTGTTGGTCAACTCCTTCTTGCTGTTGGTCAACTCCTTCTTGCTGTTGGTCAACACCTTCTTGCTGTTGGTCAACACCAGCTTCACCTTTATTTTGTCTTTGTTGTGGATTGTTTTTTCTGTTTGTCGGCTGTTGATTTGGAATTACTCTTGTTCTTTGCTGATGTTGCTGCTGCTTCATTAGTACTGGTCGCTGTTGTTGCTGTTGTGGCGGTAATCTTTGTTGTTTAATTCTTAAATCTTGCTGCCTTTGTTGCTGTTGTCTCATTCCTAAATTTGGCTGATTTTGTTGTTGATAATTGTAAGGAGTATTACCTGAATTAAATGGTTGTTGTTGAGGTCTTGGTAAAGAAGAATTGAATGAGGAAGAAGCAGCTCCGAATGGAAGCTGATTCGATGGTTGTGGAGGATAATATCCAGTTTTTGGAGGTATAGGAGAAGGATTGTATGAGGAGGAAGTAGCTCCGAATGGAAGTTTACTTGATGGTTGTGGTGGTGTAGTATAGCCAGGTCTTGGAGACGTAGAAGAATTGTATGGGGCGGAAGTAACAGCTCCGAATGGAAGTTGATTTGATGGTTGTAGTGGGGTATGTGAATGACCAGGCGGTTTTTTCTGGTACAATGGCTGTTGATATAATGATGAACTGGATGAACTGGATGAATTGGATGAAGGTGACGCTGCAGGTAAATTTGGTGATAACTGAGTTGCATTTTGATTGAATAGTTGTGGTTGATTTAATTTTTGATATTGTTGTGATGATGATTGCTGAATGGGCGAATTTATTCTTACTGAAGAATCTGGTTGTAAGAATTGTGTTGTATTTGGCGCAGGAGAAGGTGTGGGGGTAGGTTTTGAATGTAAAGGTAGCTGCGGTGGTGGTAACTGTTGTAATTGTGCATTTTGATTTATTGGTGGATGTGGTGATGAAGGTGATGAAGGCGAATGATAAAAGATGTTGGAAGTAGAACTTTGTGTTGAATGAGGTGGATTATTGAAGCCATTATTATTATGCATTGGTGGTGGGTGAGGAGAATTTTGGAAATGTGGTTGTAGATTACTGGGCGCAGTATAAAATTCATCCAGTGAATAAGTATCAGAAGTGTGCTTATTAGTATTATTTTGCTGAGAATATTCAATAGTCTCTGGATTTATTGGTTGCTGCGGCTTTTGTAAATAATTTGGTGGATAGGGTTTTTGAAGATTGTCATATGCAAAATTTTCATCATCAACTGGATAATTATTTACTATGCGATTATCATTGTCATAATCATAATCATTATTAACAACCATATTATTAGTTGTATAAAAAGGTTGTTGCTGTGTTGTTTTTTTAAATGGATCATATCTGTCTGCTGGATCTGATACCATTGTAGTATTAGTAATATCATCCGAAGACTCATCATCTTCAATGGAAAAATTTTTCCTAATTATATATTTTCTACCAAGGAAAAAGGCTATTGCAGCTATAACTGATATAATTAAACTTATCAATACCAACCAATAAGCGATACCAAAGGTTGCTTTATAAGAATTAGCCGATTGACTATTCACATTAATCGTATTAATTATAGTCATCACGCCATTATTAAACATTATAAAGTCAACAATGAAGGAAAATAATAATATCCCGGTTGATAAAATTGATATTTGCGATGCAATACCTAATAAAAGCTTTGCAGCACGTATATGAGCTATTATACCAAGTAATAATGTGACAAGTAATGAAAATATTGCTGAAATTTGATTTTTAAAAAAAAAAATAAAAATTATAGCGATTGTTTAGAGAAAAATAAATAAATGTATATATATATGTATGTATGTATGTATGTATAAAGAAATTAAATAACCCTACCAAATATATGAACTATAGCTAAATAACCTAAAGCGCTACCAACAGTTGGAATAACAACACCATCCGGAACTACTATATTCAATCTTGAACGATCTTACCAAAATAAAAAAAACAAGTTAGATTAAGGATATAGATTAGATTAGATCATTAATTAAATTAATTGAGATTGAATTAATTGATATTTATTTATTTCTAATTTCATGAATATTTTTTTAATAACTTACCAAACGTGTAGCCAAATTTTGGACTTTCGCATTCTAAAGGACCAGTATTTTGAACGCAAGTACCCCATAGTCCAAGTGTTAGAAATCTAGTGTCGGTAGGATCGCTTGGTGTTATTTTAACAAAAAAAATTGCTTTTATAAAAGTAGTGGATAAAACTGCAACTACAATTGCAGCTAATGTCAAAAATGCCAAAAATGTTCCTGGAGTTGCTCCAACGTTTATGATAGACATTTGTTATTATTGTTTAAATAATTTTTATGGATTGAAGAATTATTTATAAAGAATAATATAATTATAAAAACATGTTAATTTATCTTAAAAACTTTTTTTTATTTAAAAAAAAAAGAATTTTTCAGAATTGATTTTATTTTATTTTTATTTAATCAAAACATTATCCTGTGTAATAAATAAACACTCCATGAAAATTAATTAAAATAGATTTTTTTTTTCTTTATTATTATTATTCTGCATATGCAAAAAAAAAAAATGTCACAAAGAAATTTCAGGGATTGAAATTAGTATATTAAAACTTTATTATTGATATTAACAAATGGTGCTTGCTGATATTGCTCATCATTGCTAATTATGTTCCCTTAATATTAATCTTTTTTAAATATTGTCTTAGCTGAGTGCCCCTAAACAACAATATAATAAATGATCTAATATATCGCTTTTTCTACTAATCAATATATGATTCTAATGATTCTATTTAGGAAATTTGTATTCTCATGCAATTTCCATAGCAACTGGTAATGGTAGCTCGGCTTGCATGCAGTTCGAAGGATCCTAATTTGGTAAATAAATAAAAACCGATTGAATCTACGTCACCATAAATTGTAGTCGAGAATTTTACAAAAGAAAGATGATCTTGAGTTGCTGGTGGATTTGTTCATCAAGCTCCTCACGATTCGGCTCTGTGAGTGATAATTTATGAATTGTTTGATCCATATATGGAACAATGTTCCAAGATTATTTTCTGCCTCCTTTTTGGATTATAATATTAACTTATTGGTCTCTATATTCAGATAGTATTATAGCGTTAAAATAATGGATCTTCAAGCATCGAATAGAACTAGAATCCCATAGCCTAATACAAACATTTTGATCGCATATGTGAACTATCAATGCGCATGTGTGCATATACTCAAATAAAGCTTGGTCAAAAAACGAATGGAATCTTAAACAATATCACCTCTCGTAGACATTAGATATGGGTCAAGTAACCAACTAAGCTATATTCTTCACAAAGGACGCAAACACTCTTGTGCAAATTTTTTGACCATCAAGAGCAAATGACTCTCTTGTGTATATATTTGGTCATCAAGAGCAAGCATCCAACAAGAATGTTTCAGGATGCGTGAGAGATCAAAAAACAAAGCATTGTTTGTTCATTTACATTATGATCAGCTTTGTATGCGAGAATTACATAAAAAAATTGTTCGGCTTATCGATGCCGCATTTATTCCATAGTGATTCCACGGTGATTGATTGTATTTTTTTCAATGTGTGTGACTTCTGGTTTATATTAATATGACAAGAAAAAATGGATGATACTAATACGAGTAGTACAATTACAGTAATTGATTTCCCAAATAATGTAAATAATGAACCATAATGTACTACCAACACAAACTTAACCTTTGTAATTTGATGATATTGTTATTGAAGTATTAATAATTATTATTTCTTAGCATTAATTGTAGTACGAATTATTTATTATTATTATTATGGGAATAGGAATTATTTTTTGTAAGAAAAATTCGACATTCATCT